GCGGCTACGGCGGCGGCGGCGGCGGCGTCGGGCAGCCACCGCCGCGCAGCCGCGCGGGGCCCGAGACGGCCGCGCGGAAGGGGTGGGCGGGGTCAGCCTGGCGGCCGCCGGGCCTCCAGCAGGCCGCCGTGGATGCGCCGCTGAGGCCCGGCCGGCGGTGGGCCCGCCGGCGGCCGCCGGCAGCTTCGTCTCTCGGCGGGATCGGACCGGCGGCGCGCCGAGCCGCGGAGGAGGGAGTTCAGAGGAGGAAGAGGGACCCCCAGAGAGGATCGCGTCGTCAAAAGAAGCCGGGCGGGAGGTTTTTGGCCATTTTCGGCCTCGGGGGGCCCTCGCCAGGCCTCGGGAGCGTAAAGAAACGATTCAGGATGAGAAACCGGTCCCGGGGAAAGGGTCGGGATTCCCAGGGACCCCGTATTGACAAAAATCAGGACGTCACATGTTTGGGCCAATGCCGCTACACTTGCCCCGTTTTTGCCTCAGTGGGCCTCCTGGGAGTCCCTCGCCGCCACCGCTGGATTCGCCCAGAAGTTCTGGTCAGAGCGCACCCCAGAAGAGGCCTGGGGAGTGGCGCTATCGGTCCCTCTTGGTCTCCCCAGAACCTGGCATCTGGAGCGTTTTTTTGTTTTGTTTTTTGTTCTTCTTCTTTGTATATTTACATTATTATTATTGTCATTATTATTATTATTATTATCTGTATTATTATTATTATTATTCTTACTATTATCATTACACGTACATATTATATTACACGTGTATATAGTATATACACATACATACATCTCATTATTCTTATCATTATAATTTTTTGTTACTACTACTATTATTAATATCATAATTTTATTGTTGTTGTTATTATGATTAGTATTATTAGTATTATTATTATTAGTATTATTATTATTATTATTATTATTATTATTATTATTATTATTTATTGTTATTATGATTATTATTATGTTATGCTATATATATGTATATAACAAGAACCCTCTGGGTTGCAACGCGCGTTGTGCCCCCCCCCTCCCCCCCCGCACCCCGCTTTCCCCCCGCCCTCCTCCCTCCATAGCCTCTCATGCTCCCCCTCCCCCAGGCTTGGCCTCGCTCGGAAGTGTACATTTTTACTCGGCGAGAACCATCGAGGACCATCCTGACCCATCAAGCAAAACAAACACGCACGACACCGAAAAATGCACGGGAAATGGACATCCGAGCGATGGCAAGCAGGTGCGCCCCCGGCATTGCCGCAGTGCGTCCAGCACCGCAGTCCTGTGGTGCCGGTCGCACACGGCGGGGGGGGGTGCGTTGCGTTCTGCCCCCCCCCGCCTTCCCCCACCCTCCTCCCCCTGAGCGCCGGTTACAGGGTCCAGCTTGAACAAGGAACAATTATTATTCAAAAGGGGCTCGGTCGTTCCTTAGGTTTGCATGCGTTCCGCTACCTTTTTGGCGGCGAGCCCCCCTGGTGTTCCTTCGGACTTCCTAGGCTTGCTTGGAAAGGAAGGGGCTTCGTTCCTTATTTATCGTTCCTTAGGTCAGGCCGAATATTGCATCGCCTCGAGTACAAGACGTCTCCTGGCCTTCCCGTGCACTTCCGGAGGTCCGCGCGGATCTCTTGGATCGGTGCTGCGGCCCCCTCCCTGGCGGCGCCGGAGGCGCCGCCACGGGGGCACGGCGCCGGGCGGAGAAGCTTGCGCGGAGCTTCCGGGGCCCGTGTCTGCGCAGCCGCTTCTTCGGCGAGAGGGGGGGCTCGGAGGTCGAGAGACCTCCTGCCCTGACACGTCGATGAGCGCGAATTGGTCGCTCTCGGCTCGCGAGGGGGCGCCGCGGCCGTCCTTTTTGGGGCTCCGGGTCCGTCGCTTTCGGTCCCAGGCCGTTTTCGCTGAAGGGCGGTTCACTACAGGGAGGCTTGGCTTGTCCACCGCCGAGGGGCCAGCCCTCTCGGAGGGCGGCGGGGCTTCTCGGAAGTCCTGCGCGGCCCTCTGGGAGGCCGCCTCCTTCGTCGGAGAGGAGGCCGAGAGGAGAGCTTTGGCGAGCCCTCGGAGGAGGCGAGGCCCGCCCCCGCTGCCTCTTCCCCCCCCCCCCGGGGCGCCCCGCCGAGGAGTGGGTGCGGCAAGGAAGGAGACGAAGACCGACGGGCGTATATCAGGAGGGAAAAAACACACAGACGCAATTCATCCTCGATGTCCCGGAAAATATGGGAAAGTATGGGAAGTGGGGGGGGAAGACAGAAACCCAGGAAATATGGGAAGCTATGGGGAATCCTTTTATTTGCGTGTATTTATTTGTGTGTCCCAGGGCCCCTTTCAGCATATTTCCCCAAGCGTCAACGTCCCGAGCCTCTCCAAGCCTCCCGCCCCGCGGAGCGGAGCGGCACGCTGTCGGCTCGCAGGGCGCAGCGTGCTGCAGAGGCCGCCGCCGCCGCGACACGCCGGCTTCCCCCCCCCTGGGCGCGCAGCCGAGAGACGAGTACGGAGAGAACATTCGCTCGCGGCCTGTGTCGCCGCGGGCGCTTTTTTCCTTATTCGACTTGCCCAGTCCCCCACCTTTTCGCCCGACCCGAGAAACTGGCACGCCCGCAGCGTACACGTGAGCGCCTCCCGGCGCCCACGAGCCAGGAACGCGTCCAGCGGCAGGGCCGAAGCCAGCTGCACGCAGCAGAGTTTGCACCACCCCTTGAACATCGAAAAACAAAAACGTCGTACGTAAACATAAACTTTTGGAGGTCCACGGGGAGTTATTGGATCGACGCTGGACCTCCCTCCCTGGCGCGCGGAGCGCGCCAGGGGCGGCGCTGTAGGCGTTCAGCGTGCAGATCCAAGAACCCCGCGCGGACCGTCACGAAAATTTATATTTATGTAGTTTGTTCTTCCTCCAGTGCCCTTTCTCCCTCTTTCTTTCTCTGCGGCGAGCGAGGAGGGGAAGTGAGAGGGAGAAGGCGTTCTCAGAAGGCGGCGGGACTTCTCAGAAGCCCTCGCGCCTTATGAGAAGTTCCCTGCGTCTTCGGGGGAGGCTTAGAAAGCTTCTCGGAAGGCTGGGGGACTTCTCGAGCCTTCTAAGAAGGCCTTCTCCTTCTCACTTCCTCCTCCTCCTCCTCCTCCTCCTCCTCCTCCTCCTCCTCCTCCTCCTCCTCCTCCTCCTCCTCCTCCCCCTCCTCCCCCCCTCCTCCTCCTTCTCCTCCTCCTCCTTCTCCTCCTCCTCCTCCTCCTCCTCCTCCTCCTCCTCCTTCTGCTCGACGAACGACCGAGCGAGTCATACGCCACTTGCTGCGTGGGCAAATAGCGTACGCCTGGCCATTCCCGGCGCGGGCTCAATGAGAAACCGCGGGTAGCAGGAGGAGGAATGAGGAGACGAGCTACGCCACCAGGCGCGTGGGCAAACGCACGCCTGCCCCGGCCTACGGTGGTGCGACAGGGGGAGTTGCCTATGAGGAAGAGGGATGGATGATGATGATGTTGATGATGATGATGATGATGATGATGATGATGATGATGATGATGATGATGATGATGATGATGATGA